TCAAACGTTTTCTGTAAGTCTTCACAAGGTTTTCACACACTGTTGCTGGTATTTTGGCCCATTCCTCCATGCAGATCTCCTCAAGAGCAGTGATGTTTTGGGGCTGTCGCTGGGCAACACGGACTTTCAACTCCCTCCAAAGAATTTCTATGGGGTTGAGATCTGGAGACTGGCTAGGCCACTCCAGGACCTTGAAATGCTTCTTACGAAGCCACTCCTTCGTTGCCCGGGCGGTGTGTTTGGGATCATTGTCATGCTGAAAGACCCAGCCACGTTTCATCTTCAATGCCCTTGCTGATGGAAGGAGGTTTTCACTCAAAATCTCACGATACATGGCCCCATTCATTCTTTCCTTTACACGGATCAGTCGTCCTGGTCCCTTTGCAGAAAAACAGCCCCAAAGCATGATGTTTCCACCCCCATGCTTCACAGTAGGTATGGTGTTCTTTGGATGCAACTCAGCATTCTTTGTCCTCCAAACACGACGAGTTGAGTTTTTACCAAAAAGTTCTATTTTGGTTTCATCTGACCATATGACATTCTCCCAATCCTCTTCTGGATCATCCAAATGCACTCTAGCAAACTTCAGACCGGCCTGGACATGTACTGGGGACACGTCTTGCACTGCAGGATTTGAGTCCCTGGCGGCGTAGTGTGTTACTGATGGTAGGCTTTGTTACTTTGGTCCCAGCTCTCTGCAGGTCATTCACTAGGTCCCCCCGTGTGGTTCTGGGATTTTTGCTCACCGTTCTTGTGATCATTTTGACCCCACGGGGTGAGATCTTGCGTGGAGCCCCAGATCGAGGGAGATTATCAGTGGTCTTGTATGTCTTCCATTTCCTAATAATTGCTCCCACAGTTGATTTCTTCAAACCAAGCTGCTTACCTATTGCAGATTCAGTCTTCCCAGCCTGGTGCAGGTCTACAATTTTGTTTCTGGTGTCCTTTGACAGCTCTTTGGTTTTGGCCATAGTGGAGTTTGGAGTGTGACTGTTTGAGGTTGTGGACAGGTGTCTTTTATACTGATAACAAGTTCAAACAGGTGCCATTAATACAGGTAACGAGTGGAGGACAGAGGAACCTCTTAAAGAAGAAGTTACAGGTCTGTGAGAGCCAGAAATCTTCCTTGTTTGTAGGTGACCAAATACTTATTTTCCACCATAATTTGCAAATAAATTCGTTAAAAATCCTACAATGTGATTTTCCGGATTTTTTTTCTCTTAATTTGTCTGTCATAGTTGACGTGTACCTATGATGAAAATTACAGGCCTCTCTCATCTTTTTAAGTGGGAGAACTTGCACAATTGGTGGCTGACTAATACTTTTTTCCCCCACTGTATGTCCAGAGCGCCTGCTAAAATGTGAAAAATGAAATGGATGATGGACATCCACAAATGAATACATATAATACCCTCAGAACGTATTCACACCCCTTTACTTTTTCCACATTTTGTTGTGTTACAGCCTAAATTTAAAAATGATTAAATTGAGATTTTTTGTCACTGGCCCACATACATTACCCGAAATTTTTACAAATTAATAAAAATGAAAATATTAAATGTTATGGCAAGCCTAAATAATTTCAGGAGTAAAAATGTCCTTAACAAGTCAGATAATAAATTGCATTGACTCACTCTGTGCAGTAATAGTGTGTAACATGATTTTTGAATGACTACATAATGTCTTTACCCCACACATACAAATATCTGTAAGGTCCCTCATTCAAGCAGTGAATTTCAAATACAGATTCAACCCCAAAGACCAGGGATGTTTTCCAATGCCTAGCAAAGAAGGGCTCCTATTGTTAGATGGGTAAAACACAAAAATAGACATTGAATACCCCTTTGAGCATGGTGTATCAATACACCCAGTCACTACAAAGCTACAGGCGTCCTTCCTAACTCAGTTGTCGGATAGGAAGGAAACCGCTCAGGGATTTCACCATGACCAATGGTTACTTTAAAACAGATGCAGAGTTTAAAGGCTGTGATAGGAGAAAACTGAGGATGGATCAACAACACTAGTTACTCTACAATGCTAACCTAATTGACAGAGTGAAAAGAAGGAAGCCTGTACAGAATACAAATATTCCAAAACATGCATCCTGTTTGCAATAAGACATTAAAGTAATACTGCAAAAAATGTGGCAAGGAAATAAACTTGAACACAAAGCATTATGTTAGTGGCAAATTCAACACAACACATCACTGAGTACCACAATTTTTTTACAGCGCAGCAATATATCTCAGTTTATTGCATAAATCGTATATGGATTGGATTGCAATGCTGGTGCGATAAAATAATCCAGTCCAGTTTAATGAATTACAGTGTAGCCTAATCCAAGTGTAGGCTATGACACAATGTAAATGGAGAAGAATGCTAAAACGTGGTCAGCGGCAGATCAAAATAGCAGCACGAAGTCTCCGGGGTGAACGGAGTTGTCCGTGGTGCTCTCGTTCAAGGTCCTTTATTACACTGTTCGTACTGAGCATGGGACGGTTGCATTTTGGCTGCTGCTCAGATGGATGAAGCCAGCGGGGAACATGCAGCATACAGACGCCACCGGCTACAGACCTACCACAGATCATACTTGCAGTGGGGTAGTGCTATTTTTTTAGATGAGGAAGCGCAAACAATATGTAAAATACGTCATTATTTCCTCAATCAAAGTTTGTACCGACAGATGTAGCCTATTAAATAGCCTATCATTACAGGGCTCTAGAACCCTGTTGACAATTTTGAGGGCCTTCCTCTGACACCGCCTGGTATAGAGGTCCTGGATGGCAGGAAGCTTGGCCCCAGTGATGTACTGGGCCGTACGCACTACCCTCTGTAGTGCCTTGTGGTCGGAGGCCGAGCACCAGTCAGGATGCTCTCGATGGTGCAGCTGTATAACTTTTTGAGGATCTGAGGACCCATGCCAAATATTTTCAGTCTCCTGAGGGGGAATAGGCTTTGTCGTGCCCTCTTCACGACTGTCTTGGTGTGTTTGGACCATGATAGTTCGTTGGTGATGTGGACATCAAGGAACTTGAAGCTCTCAACCTGTTCCACTACAGCCCCGTTGATGAGAATGGGTGCGTGCTCAGTCCTCTTTTTTTTTCTTCCTGTAGTCCACAATCATCTCCTTTGTCTTGGTCACGTTGAGGGAGAGGTTGTTATCCTGGCACCACATGGCCAGGTCTCTGACCTCCTCCCTATAGGCTGTCTCATCGTTACCACCTACAGGATGGCAGCTCTCCAGGAGCAGGGTTGGAGAGCCCTGTTATAAAATGCATCCTCCAATTGCAACGTCTGCCTATGCCCACACATATTGTCTCAATAAATGTTATATTTGTAATACCCTCAAACACCAAGTTAGGCATACCTCATTTTAAAATAGGCCATCATCACTGCCAATCATGAATCATAGTTATGTATGTTTTACCGGCGAAACTGAGTCTGCATTCCAATAATTTGATTGATCTCAATCAGTTTCATGGGAATAGCCTATGCATTTCGATCTTCTTTAATGATTGTTTCGTGAGCGAATTAGAGCAGATGGTGTTAACAAGCTATTAGCCTTTCTTGTATTTTGTTTCAATTAAAGCATATATCCTGCCTAGTGGCTATGTTGAGTTTTGGCGCATGATACTTTTTTTTGGGACTATTCAGCTTCAGCTAACCATCCTAAAATCTCATTAGAAATGAGGAGGTGTTTTTGGTATAACAGTAACATTAGCCTATAGGTCTACTATGCTATGCTATTATGTTTGGTTCTGTTATGTAAAATACTAATTAATCGTTATGTGATCTTGCGAGACATTGATTCAGTTTTGATCTAACTTTACTAAACGAGCACCATTGTGAGAAGTGATAATCTTCTATTTGTAGTAGTAATAATAAGTGATGAGTAGGACTATTAGGCGTAGGCAACAGATCTTGATGAGTGTTATTGTAAACGATTGGAGCGCCCTTCGAGGTTCGAAAAGGACAGCGCCAAATAAACCTTGATTTGATTAGCTTGAACACATAGTTACAATATAACCTATTACAGAATAAAATGAAACAGAGGGGTAAACTATCAATTCATATCATATATTTGCATACATTTAATCAATAAATCAATTGACCAAGTAGTGCTCATAAATCATTCCTACGTAGAATTGCAGGAAATTCGTTTTAAAACAGCTATAAAATCAAGCTTTTGGTGTGGCGTATTCATGCATTTCAATAAACTAGAACCTAAATGCATTATTACTTTCAACTTGGTCCAATTTACATTTACATTTTCCCACCCCGACATGGCCTACCAAGCTAGAAAGTGCTCTGCGTCTCAGCCAATAGCCAACATAGGCTAAATATCCCAAGCAGGGCTACAGCAACTTCCAGAGGGTCAGGCTCTTGTGCTTTGCCGTAGCCATGGTTTGGGTGTCCTCGGCGTCGCTGTAACCAAGTGGTCACATATCGTTCTGGGTTACACTGCGAAATAGCAGGTCGGTGGAGTTTTATAAACATCATGCAGACACGGTTAATTTAGATTTTTTTCAACGTTCTGGGCCTCCGCTGTGCACACATGTAGCCTATAGTTATTCATCATGCACAAAGATAGCCTCTTCCTCAAAGAGAGAAGATAAGTTGACCCCATTCCGCCACCTTCATGTCTGTTTTCACAGTTCATATGTGTGAAATTTATTTTAGGACAATATTTGTGCTTTTGGCTGGACAGAGAATTGGATGCTTTGGAGGCGTACCAGTAGAAAAAAGTTGCACAACTTTTAGGCTTGTATAAACCACAAAAAAAAATATGTAGGCCTATTGACGTGGACCTTTCATTTGTTTAAAATATATGTTAATGTAGGCTACACATGTTGACAAACGAACACATAAAGTAAGCGATAAAAAATATATTTTGGATTTAGCACTTTATTTGTCCTTCAGAACCGATACAGCTGTTTTGATACATTCAATGAAGGGCGCCGGAAGTTGCTCTGTTTCTGTTGACGCAAGCAACGAACGCTCTAGTGGTACTGTCTGCCCAGGGAGCTCACCACGACCGCAAGGAACTTTTGGAAAGCACCCTGGACATCAGCGGTGAAGTCAGCACCCATTCTCGCAGCAACGACAATAGTCAGGCAGTCAGCCAGCAGCTGCAAAAGAAAAAAGATAATGGACATGTAAGAAAATGCATTCTGGCGCAGTATTGAGATAGGCAAGTAGAATATGACCTTGTGAAGTATAAAAGGACAACTCATTTACCCTGAAGTTGTCGGGATCCACGTGCAGTTTCTCGGAGTGCAGCACACTCAGCTCGGCGTAGGTGGCCTTGATGTCATCCATGTTCTTGACAGCCCGGTCCAGTCCGTGCAGGACGGTCTTTCCGTGAGCGGCGACCATTGGGTTTCCCTGGATGGCAGCGGCATTGTACAGGTTTCCGAAGTTACCGAAATACCTCTGGGTCCAGGGGTACACGACCAGACACCTGTAAGTGAATACTTGCATTATGAGTGACCGCATTAATCATATAATATGCACGATGTTCAATGTAACTGTAGGCCTATTTTTAAGGAGGTATGAAAAAGAGTGAAGACCTGGAAAGAGCCGCGGGGCCCACGTCATCATAGTCCATCTTCCCAAAGATGCTCTGGATTGTTTCGCGCTCGAAGTCTGTCCACTCAACCATATTGACGTTTATGAGGTATCACTCAAGATGATATGTACTCTTCATGCTACTGACGGGACAGCTTATATACGCGTTTTGTCTCCACACCGACAGCCAACTATTGGTTTAGCTGTTTTGAGTGGGCAGGGTTAACAATGGTTAACATTCATAGCCTACTGTAAATTACAACGACCAAAAGGTACAAATCACCAAGACAGTGACGATAGTTCTCATGTGCCCTTCATGCTCATTCAATAATGATCATCATTATTTATCACCAATTCATATTTGAAATTATTTCAGTGGTGTTGGGGGAAATGTGGACAGTTTAATGTCCCTGTGACTGCCGATGTATAGCCAAATAATTCATACTTTTGTTTTCAGAAAGTCAAATTAAGAAAAAAGTTCTGCCAAAAGCCGATAAAGAAAATATTTTGCAAGCCCTTTATTTTATTTTATTTAGGCCTAATAAAACATGCATTTTATGTATATATATATATATATATATATATATATATATATATATATATAAATTTTTTATCACTATTTAATTTTTTGTAAGAATATATTTTCCTTTTGTTAATCTACATTTTATGATGATAAAGCTTGTTTTCATTCACAATACCTTTTTTTTTATTACACTCTTTTATTGAATCATTTGGCTTAAAATTACGACATCAAGATGTGTGTGCCTATGTTTTTTCAAGCAAGTGCAAGTTTGAGCAATTATTTAAATAATGATTGGTGTATGAAGTTGTACAATATTAAATGGTGCAAACTAAGCTATATCTATAAATTACCTCCTGTAAGAGCTGGGCCATTGTCATGTGTAGCAACACCTAACATTATCATGTAAAGATTGGGTGAAAAATCTGATCCAAGACCAGTGCTTCTGGTTTATTGATTATTTCATCAAACAATAATCTGGTCTAAATACTGGTAATGTAGGCCTCCAGAAGACAAACAGTAATGACTTATCATATAAGGGTGTAAGGTCATATAATGATGGTGATATAATAATGGTAGCCTAATAATGATGATGATAATGATGATGATGATGATGAAGGTGGTGGTGCTTACCTATTACTATAATTATTGCTATTACTATTGATGGCAATGTGGACCCACAGTGGAGTAGTGGACGTTTTCAACTTTGTGGATAGTGGATATATTTGTGAAATTATTTTACAATCAATAATCTAGGTCTATTAATGAAATAAATAAGTAACTAAACATTAAAACACATATAGCCTACAATTAATCACCAAGGACAACAACGTTTCAGATTCGATCGGTAGGATTTATTTATTGCATCTTTTCATTTCAATTGACACCCTACAAAGATTGTCAAGTGGAAATCTAGCTCCTTGCTTAACGGTACTTCTCAGACAGAGCCAGGGACAGCTGGGCCAGAAACTTGTCCGTAGCCACGTGCACCTCAGGGGTGAAGTCATCAGGGAATATCATGGCCAGCGTCACTAGCAGGTTGTGGTTGAAGATCTTGGGATGTGAAGAGAGAGCAGAAACATTATTAGCAGCATATTTCATGAGTATGTTTCTAAATATTGAAATCCATTGGGTTTTTAAGCTGCATAGCTATTACAGTATTCACGCTTGGACGGTTGCTAATGGAAAAAAAGCTACTAGTGAGAAAGAAAACACGTGCATTTTTGGCTATTTACTCACCTTGAAGTTGGCAGGATCCACTCTCAACAAGAAGGCGTGCAGCTCGCTGAGGGTGAGAAGACCAGCACTAAGGTCGTCAATCTTCTCAATGGCATCCAGGACGCCTCCCATGACGGTCCCACCGTGCTTCCTGACCGGGGCAGAGCCGAGGCTCAGGTCCTTCCAGTGGGAGAAATAGGTCTTGGTCTGGGGGTACACCACCAGCGTCCTGCGAGGGTGCAAACATACTTCGGTTAAGCGTGGCATGTTTATCGTTGTATCATATGACCCCACTCTTTTTACTTGATGTGCATTGGAAAAAGGGAGTTCCATTTACGCGCGAGATCCATTTTTACGCACTTGTATGGTAAGGAATTGTCAACCATTCATAAGTAATTCAAAGGTCTAAAATAATTGTATTGATCAATTACTTGTATTAATAATTCAATAATTGTAATTACCTGGAAAGTGCCTCGTTGCCAACATCCTCGGCCCTGCCGGCAACCTTGCCAAAAAAGGCCTTGACAATTGCCTTGTCCTTAGCGGAGAGACTCATTGTTGCTTCAACTTCTTGACTTGCTGCCAACCAACTCAGTAGAGCTCACTTTCGGGGCCCTTTTTATGTATTGTCTGATCTGCCCAAGCACAATGCTGCTGCCCAGAAACCACCTCCAAAACAGACCCATTGGTTGTCTCTTATCATAGCGTGCCATCTTAGTTGTTTACAACTCATAGCACACAGCCAAGTATAGATAAAATAAGTTATGGGCGTATGGCAGGGTTATTCAAACGTTATTTTCTTATTTCTTTTAGTGAATTTGTTACTATAATTGTAATTTAAATTTTAGGAATATCGCTAGCAACAACAAAATTAACGAATTTTGAATGACATACCGACAGTAGAAAAGAGGAGTATATCTTATTTTTAATGATGTCAACTATATTTCTCAACTCCTAATATTGAGCCAATTACACTCACTGGAGTATGTGACCTATGCTTTGAAAAAGCACCTGCTAATAGGCTAGTGCCGCAAGTGCTGCTGGCTGCTGTTACGCTTTCTTGACCTCGACATTCATTTAGCCAACCTTTGCTTAACCAGCTAAACAGCTGCTTTTAGCGAAAATGTGTTTGGAGTTACTCATGTGTTTGGAGTTTACACTTCCTCTTCCAACTATAACGAGGGAGGTCAAAATAATGAAAAACGATCTACCAAATTATATATATTAATTTTAAAATGCCGATTACTTCTCCTTGCCATTTACACTACATGACCAAAAGTATGTGGCCACCTGCTCGTCGAACTTCTCATTCCCAAATCATAGGCATTAATATGGAGTTGGTCCCCTTTTGCTGCTGTAACAGCCTCCACTGTTCTGGGAAGGCCTTCCACTAGATGTTGGAACATTGCTGCGGGGACTTGCTTCCATTCAGCCACAAGAGCATTAGTGAGGTCGGGCATTGATGTTGGGCGATAAGGCCTGGCTTGCTGTCCGCATTCCAATTCATCCCAAAGCTGTTCGATGGGGTTGAGGTCAGGGCTCTGTGCAGGCCAGTCAAGTTCTTCCACACCGATCTCAACAAACCATTTCTGTATGGACCTCGCTTTGTGCACGGGGGCAATGTCATGCTGAATCAGTAAAGGGCCTTCCCCAAACTTTTGCCACAATGTTGGAAGCACAGAATTGCCTAGAAGGTCATTGTATGCTGTAGCGTTAAGATTTCCCTTCACCGGAACTAAGGGGCCTAGCCCAAACCATGAAAAACAGCCCCATACCATTATTCCTACTCCACCAAACATTACAGTTGGCACTATGCATTCAGGCAGGTAGCGTTCTCCTGGCATCTGCCAAACTCAAATTCGTATGACGGACTGCAAGACGGTGAAGCGTGATTCATCACTCCAGAGAACGCGTTTACACTGTTCCAGAGTCGGCGGGCTTTACACCACTCCAGCCGACGCTTGGCATTGCGCATGGTGATCTTAGGCTTGTGTGCGGCTGCTCGGCCATGGAAACCCATTTCATTAAGCTCCCGACAAATAGTTATTGTGCTGAAGTTGCTTCCAGAGGCAGTTTGGAACTCGGTAGTGAGTGTTGCAATAGAAGGACAGACGATTTTTACGCGTTACGAGCTTCAGCATTCGGCGGTCCCGTTCTGTGAGCTTGTGTGGCCTACCACTTCGCGGCTGAGCCATTGTTGCTGCTAGATGTTTCCACTTCACAATAACAGCACTTACAGTTGACCGGGCAGCTCTAGCAGAGCAGAAATTTGACAAACTGACTTGTTGGAAAGGTGGCATCCTATGACGGTGCCACATTGAAAGTCACTGAGCTCTTCAGTAATGCCATTCTACTGCCAATGTTTGTCTATGGAAATTGCATGGATGTGTGCTCAATTTTATACCTGTCAGCAACGGGTGTGGCTGAAATAGCCGAATCCACTAATTTGAAGGGGTGTCCACATACTTTTAGTGTACTTATGTATGTATCATTCACCTGATCATAAAACAAGACATTTTGATATTTTTGGGGGGCTAACTTACTATGGGGGTCCTTGGGCCGCCGGTTTGCCTGGGAGGGGTCCCTGGGCAAGAAAAGGTTGAAGACCCCTGGCATATGGAGATATGGATATTCAATGAAAATGGGTGAACTCACATTCTCAACAGAATGAAAGCAGCAATCCACAAAATTCCTTCTCCAATTAATTTAGAGTTGGACGCATAGTCAGTCGGGTCAAAGCCTGTGTCACAATTTAAGCTTATACTTTGTCAACATTTGGCCATACCACGACAACACGAGGATTCTCTTTCGACTGTGAATATGTGGTGCTGAAAGGACAGCTCCGCTAATCGGTCAGGTAGCAGGATAGAGATAGCGATGGTCAGGGTGAACTTGGTGGTGCTGAAGAACAGCTCCGCCAGTTAGAGAAATCTCACTGATGATGAGGGCACACTTTGTCTCAGCAGCTACTAAACATTAGCCACTGTAGTCTTTTTTGTAGTGTCATCCTAATAACTATATTTGGGATTATACCCGTCAAACATTTTTCTTGATTCATCGTCAATTATTTTATTCTTATATTAGGACATCTACGTATATGTTAGGTTTACACATGGATTTTGAGTTTTGTGTGAAGGATTATGCAAAACTGTTTTTCTGCTTTTACAATTTGTGTGATTTCTTAAAGTGTAGTAGACCTAGTTTACCAAAAACAATGAAGAGTTCTGAAGGTTAATAATGTGTTTATTTGATAGGGACATATAAAAATACAACATTGCCACAGTGAATGATCAAGAGTCCCAGCCAGCACCATCATGCGTTAGCGTGCTTTCCAGCACCAGTCCCTTAGATGTTGCAGCTATTTCTAGGCCTGTGATGTGATACTTAATTTATTATTCACTCTGCCCAAATGATGACAGGGTTGCGACATAAAATGAAAGGACCACTGACCATTAAAAACAACAGATGTTTTGCATATATGAATTCGAACCAAGTTCATCCTCAGGCAGGATCCACCCCACTGCAGCTACGCAAAACCATAGTCTTCTATATAGTTCATGAACATTTTGGATAGACATATCAATGTTGTTATCATATACCTTTTTATTTAGTATAAATTGCACGTTTAGACGTTTAGTTATTGTTTATGTTTTACTAGTCTACTCTACAATTGTGCAGAAAATGTCCCAAAATGTGAGACTGAAATACATTCCCAAAAGGTGTATATTTTACAAAATGTCGAGGTATGTCAATAACCTCTCATGTAACAACGTGATAATGCCATCATGAAAGAGTATATATAGGCCTATAAAACGAACACACAATTACAAAGGAACTGAATGCGGCTTTCAACTTGTCAAGCAATGAGCTCATATTTTGAGGATTTGGTGCTCTAACAAGAGGTGGGGGGCACATTGATAAAGGGCATCTATCTATGTCACTGCTTATCTCAAAGGAAACATGTGTCAGTTTTATCACAGTGTTCTGGTTCCACCCTAGTTGCTCAGTTAGGGTGGCACTGGCATGGTATGTATATACTTCGATAATCTTTCCGTGATAGTATGCCCTACAACATACAGTGCATTCAGAAAGTATTAAGACCCCTTCCCTTTTTCCACATTTTGTTACATTACAGCCTTATTCTAAAATTGATGAAATAAATAATAATCCTCAGTAATCTACACACAATACCCCATAATGACAAAGCGAAAACAGTTTTTTTAGAAATTTTAGCAAATGTATTAAACTTCTAAAACAGAAATACCTTATTTACATAAGTATTCAGACCCTTTGCTATGAGACTCGAAATTGAGCTCAGGTGTATCCTGTTTCCATTGATCTTCCTTGAGACGTTTCTACAACTTGATTGGAGTCCACCTGTGGGAAATTCAATTGATTGGACATGATTTGGAAAGGCACACACCTGTCTATATAAGGTCCCACAGTTGACAGTGCATGTCAGAGCAAAAACCATGCCATGAGGTCGAAGGAATTGTCCGTAGAGCTCCGAGACAGGATTGTGTCGAGGCACAGATCTGGGGAAGGGTACCAAAACATGTCTGCAGCTTTGAAAGTGGCCTCCATCATTCTTAAATGGAAGAAGTTTGGAACCACCAAGACTCTTCCTAGAGCTGGCCACCCGGCCAAACTGAACAATCAGGGGAGAAGGACCTTGGTCAGGGAGATGACCAAGAACCCGATGGTCACTCTGACAGAGCTCTAGAGTTCCTCTGTGGAGATGGGAGAAACTTCCAGAAGGACAACCATCTCTGCAGCACTCCACCAATCAGGCCTTTATGGTAAAGTAGCCAGACGGAAGGCACTCCTCAGTAAAAGCCACATGACAGCCCGCTTGGAGTTTGCCAAAAGGTACCTAAAGACTCTCAGACCATGAGAAACAAGATTCTCTGGTCTAATGAAACCAAGATTTAACTCTTTGGCCTGAATGCCAAGCGTCACGTCTGGAGGAAAACTGGCACCATCCCTACGGTGAAGCATGGGGGTGGCAGCATCATGCTGTGGGGATGTTTTTCAGCAGCAGGGACTGGGAGACTAGTCAGGATCGAGGGAAAGATGAACGGAGCAAAGTACAGAGAGATCCTTGAGCTGCAGAGCGCTCAGGACCTCAGACTGGGGCGAAGGTTCACCTTCCAACAGAACAACGCAGGAGTGGCTTCGGGACAAGTCTCTGAATGTCCTTGAGTGGCCCAGCCAGAGCCCGGACTTGAATCCAATCGAACATCTCTGGAGAGACCTGAAAATAGCTGTGCAGCAACACTCCCCATCCAACCTGACAGAGCTTGAGAGGATCTGCAGAGAAGAATGAGAGAAACTCCCCAAATACAGATGTGCCAAGCTTGTAGCGTCATACCCAAGAATACTCAATGCTGTAATTGCTGCCAAAGGTGCTTCAACAAAGTACTGAGTAAAGGGTCTGAATACTTATGTAAATGTGATATTTCTGTTTTTTATTTTTAATACATTTGCAAAAATGTCTAAAAACCAATGTTTGCTTTGTCAGTATAGGGTATTGATTAGGGGAAAAAAGAATTGAAT